AGGCATTTAAATAAATCAGGAGTTAATTCATTTAACTTGAACTTTTCACATTCTCGATTCACAACTCCTGCATAAGTGACAAAAAGTTAAGACACTACCAATGTGTATTAAATAATGAACTTCTATCACCAATAATTTTTGATAGTATGAGAACAGTCTCATCAAAATTTATCTCTCCCTGTTTTTTCTGCAAAAGATAATTTACATATTTTTCATATTCAGCAGGGGACAATTTCCTAATAATAACTGAAACTTTCTTTTCATCATTCCAATGCGAACAATCCCTTTTGAAGATCCCTTTCTGTATCTTCTATAATAAGCTGGAAAAGTTATCCCTTCATCTGGATTGTACAAATTCAAATTTGCTGATTGAATTAGCAACAGTCATCTGGAGTGAATGAATCTGAAGTTTTTCCTTCCATCGTTTTGGTAAACAACTCAAAAAATAATACTTCTGTTGTTGTAGTTGTAATTGTATTTGTTAATTGCTGTTCATGTTGTTTTTGTTGCTGCAATTGTTGTTCTTGTTTTTTGTTTGTTAAAGACTACTCCCCATTAACATTTGAACCATGATAGCTTTTAAAATTCATACAAATATGAACATTACTTCCATTCCCTGGAGTGGAAAGGATTCCACCAGGTTTACTCTGCTGAATATTACTTGTCAATGCACATCATTTATCTAATGGCAAAACATCTGCTCTCAAAAATAAAATAATTAAAAAAAAAAAAAAAATTACACTGCAACACTAAAATTCCACATTTCTAATATTGCCTATTATTTCAATCTAAAATAAAGACATTCTTAGAGCATATTTGCACAGGAGTTAACATTGAAAAGTAGAATAGAAAATATTTGAAGCAAGATGTTTTTTATTGATGAATTCCTTTACTTGGCCATTTAAATGAACAAATCTTACAAAATTGTATATGCAGCCAGAGAGAAGTGTAAGCTGTTGTCCAACAAAATAACAATAAAACAATGTGCATGACAATGAGGGAAAAGAACCCATTTTTGCATATCACAAATATCTGCAGCAGTTTAATGTTACAATTTTGGTTAATTTCCACTGATTAAAAACTGTAATTCTCAGTCACTCCTTCCCTTGTGATCCCAGATTACCCTAATTCCTCTGCCATTTTAATTTGTTATCTAATAATTCTTTTTCATCATTATAAGTTAAACCATACAAGTCCTTCTGAATTTCCCATATAAAAATCTTCTATTTGATTTGAAATTTCACCCACTTAAGAATTACTGGTTTAAAAGATCTACATTCATCTACCTTCTTATATATCTATATTCTCAAGTAAAATGCATAAACACTTAAAGTATTTGAAACAGATATTTAATAAGCTTATAAAACACAGTCTGAAATTGTTAAAATGTCAATTTATGTCAATTTATGTCAATTTATACAGTAATTAATGTCAAACTAAATCCCAATAAAAATTATTAATGACCGACAAGTATTCAGGATACTCAAAGAGGCCAGAGTCTTTACTGATATAAAATGTTTATACTAAAATATTTATACTCAGAGAAAGTTATATATTAACACAAAAATTTACTTGATATTTTGGTAAAAGGCCTTTGCTGCATTATCTCAAGAAAACCATCCACCTCTTAAACTGATGCAAGTGATCCACACATGCCTCATCCAACTATACAGAAAGTGTGAGAAATTAATGAAGAGCATACTGAAAGAACTACAAATGAATTTTCTTCCTTGTAAGTTAATTAAGACAACCATCCAAATGTTCTATAACTTTGACAACATATATTTGTGGTAAATTCTTGTCTTAGAATTTGCCAACAAGTAAAATATTCCAACTCTGATATATTCATTGAAATATATTTATCAAATAAAAATCTTTAAATCATATTATTTGGGTAAGAAGCAAATAAGAAATTCTATTTTTCTCCATACAAGAACCTGACATTGCTAAGATCTTTAAAAATTATAAAAAGAAGAAAGATCTCATTAACAAATTCTCCTCTAAGACACCATGTGTTCTTTTATAATTTCTTTGAGTTTGTTCCCAATTGTTTCTGTTTGAAAAGTGTTCATTTATTTCTTTGAAACGTATTTTGTCCATTTCCACTTTTGAGAAATAGCTTTGTTATTTGTTTCTAGCTTTCATGCTGTATTTCCTAAATAAAAGGATAACATCAGTATGAAGTATGGACCTTTTTTGTTGAGACCCATGTTCAATTACAAAGGACCCTTTCCTAGATCAGAAACCAAATGGGGAGATGTCAGAGGCAAATATAGAGGAATGTTGCAAAGTAAACAAATTTCAATGATCAAAAAAAAAAAAAAAAAAAAAAAAAAAGAGAGAGAGATGATCATTCTCGGGTCAGTTTTTATACTCTCAACAGAAACTCTTAATGAAAATATTTCAATTGCTTTTCATTTCTTATATAAAAACAAGTTCCAGTTTCATTAGGTAGACAAAACACAAATGACAAAAAAATACATTTTTATACTATATTACATATCATTACATCAAATGACATATCATTATCATCCCATCATGGCACTTTTATAAAGGGTTGCTTATTGAACTCAAAAAATATAGGTGCATTCAGCCAAAGCTATAAGTTACCTTTTACATTTCTTTATGTCACCTTATTCAGGTAAAACCACATCACATTTTGCAAAAAAAACATAAAAGGGGGCATCAAATTTTTATTTTGTGAAAATCGGTGCAGAAATATTTTTAATTGTTTCTATAGATAGAATTATTCATTTGTTGATTTCATTTTTTAGCAATATTACTTTTTTTTCCTGAGATTCACATCTGATACTTTTTAATATACTAAATTAGATTTATAGTCGATTTATTAATACTATATATGTATAATGTATATTTGACTATGTTCAAATAACTGAACTGATTTGTAAATGCTTATTTCTATGTTTTGTTCAAGAGTATCAGTTTCTTTCTGATCAGCTTTAATTCATGTTCTGATTGGCTGACTTTAAATTTTAAAGATTTTTAAAATCATTTCTTTCATGTTAAAATTATTGGTTGAATTTAGAATTAGTGTGTAAGCAAATTTCCCAGCTAAAACAAAGTTTGAAAAGGCCTAAGTAATTCAAAAAGTAAGGTATTATCTTACAAATGGTTGGAAAGAAGAAAAATTATGTTGGCAATTTTATTTTAGGTGTTGTTCATCCTTCTCAGTATTTGATGACATTTTACTCTTTTCTGAATAAATTGTAATTTATAAAGTTTTTATAAATGCAAGTTTTAAAACAATTTCATACATGCCATCTTGTCTTTTTATAAAATGAAATCTCTTATAAGAAGCAATATCTCTTGGCCATAGGTGGATTAAGATAATGAATAAATAGTGATACATTACTAGAAGTGACCTCTGGCAATACAGGTAGAGAAAAAATAAAAGTCTTTGTCAGAAACAGAGGCACCATACTGTAGGAATCACCCTGATTATATAGGGCACAATATGATAGTCTTTGATTCCTGTTGCAAATGGTCAAATGTTTGAATTTGATGAATCCAGAACAGCACATTTAACACCATACTTTTTCTTTGATAATTGTTTTCCAAGTTCAAGCACCAAAGGTGATTTTGGACATGGCACTCAAATTCTTTCCAACAGAATTTGCCGAATATTGCAAACTGACCCAATACTGTCATCCACAGTCAAATGGTCAAAGCAGAAAGATAACTTTTTCAAAAGGCCTTAGGCTAAAAGAATAAAGAAGCTGTGAGTAAATTTTATATCCTTTTTTTGTTTTTATATAAAACTCAAAATATGAAATGTACTTGAAGTACAATCACCAGAAAAAGTAATGTTCAGAAGACTTACTCCAACAACATTTGGTGTAGTGTGTTTAAAAATAATAATAAACTCATGTAGAAAATTTTCAAAAAATAAGAAAAAACATTTCATAGATTCAGTGGAGGAAATAAATTCTTCATAAGAAACTTTTAACCTGGAAAAATAAAATGGTTAGCAGAAAACAGAGTCAAGGCCAGATCATTTAATCACAAAATGTCCAAATCAATCAAATAAGACTAAAATATACATGCAGTTCATTTCTATGTAACAAATCTAGTTTAAATAATTCAGTATTCAAAAAAACATGAAAGCCAAAAATTCTTTAAGTGAATTTAAGATGACATATTAAAAAGCTAAAAATCTAAGAAGACTATCAGTAAAGAAACCTAAAGAAGATCTTATTTCTGCCACCAGGCTGTCAACGTTTATGATTCAAATTTGAGTAGTAAGAAAAGTTATTCCCCCTAGGGTGTATACAATGTAACTTCACTTAACATATGTAAACAGTTACCCAGCTAACTATATAATTTACAGATGCCAACAATCACATACTCTAAGGGGAAAACATTATATCCAGTATATTCAGGTGCAAAGTACTTTACTTGGAAAGTGAAAGAGTTAATTGGAGAAACATAATAAAAGTATATTAAATTCAGTTCTTTTTTCCACAAATTATTTAAATATGCAAGTGTGTATAAAAGAAAGCCACAAATAAAGGAGTGGCTAATTGGATCCCACCATTCCAGAATTCACTATATTCTTAAATTTTAATACACTTAGAAAAACAAACCATAAAACTTATTTTCTCTCTACATTCATCAATATTATGTGTGAATTAGAAGTTAAAACAATTTAAATTGAGTTTAATGCTTAGAATAAGTTATTCTGCATTTACAATATAGTCTTTTTCAAACAATGCCTATGGTTTATTAGTAATTAATGCAGACATCAAAGAAAGAACCAATTGCTTCTGTTTAATACAATGTGAAAGTACAGTTTAACAAAAGAAGAAAATCTTCTAGCTAAGGTAATTTATTTAAATGTCCATGTGTGAAATTGAAGGCTAACAGTTCAGAATCAAGGGCATAACATAATATAAGAAAGAGCAAATATATATAAAACAAAATTATTTTATTTTCCTATTCAATTACAAGTGAAGCTTTCATCAGAATAAGTTACATATTTACTAAGAATAAGTTAATGCACAAACCTTTTCCCCCATGGACACACCACCTGATGTAACAACAACATCAGCTTCAGAAATTGCCATTGCCAGTTTTGTAAATAAAGTATCTGGGCTTCAAGAAAAGAAATAAAAAACAGAAGATATGAGAAAGAAACCAACATTAATAATAAAGGTTCATTAAAGTGGCTGCATTTAATGACTTGGTTTTATAAAATTGGTTTTATCAGGCTTGAAAAAAAATCAAGTTTACAACTTCAATTATGAATTCTTATTTATAAATTAATTAAAAATATGATACTAAATAAAATTCAGATGAAAAATTACCTTTTGGTATATAACAAAGTTATTTCTAATTTAACTGATGGTTTATTGCCAAAACAACCGTAATGGCGAGTATCTGGTTGACTTAATGGAGGAATTTAATCTGTATCCAGCTAACACTAAATTTATGAAGGGCAACAATCAACTATGGACCTTTGAGTATCCAAATGGCAGCAGAGCCCAACTAGACTACATACTGGTTCGTAAGAAGTGGCAGAATAGCATTAAGGAGTGCCAAGCATACTCATCTTTCTCTTCCGTGGGATCTGACCATCAAATCGTATCTGCCACAGTTAAACTGAGTTTTAGAGTTTCGAAGAGACCAACTGCGGATCCCATGAAAACTATTGACCGGAAAGCGGTCTACCGTGACAAGAATCTATCATCTCAGTATGCAGTGAATGTGTTTAACAGATTCCAAGAACTCTTTCACTACAACCCAGAGAACTCTCAGTTAGATTCAAGGAACATAGACCAGATCTATGGAAACTTGATTAAAGCCAACGAGGAGGTGGCTCTATCTACACTCCCCAAAAAACCAAAATCACGAAGAAGTCCAGTTAGTTCAGGCATCAAAATCTCAGAAGCTAGAGAAAATCTCAAGAAAACCTCATCGATGTACCACTGCCACCCTTCTCAGAGCAATAAGAAGTTAACAGCTGCAAAACAATCCCTCAACCATGCTTATCTTGAAGCTGAAAAAGCTTATATAAATGGGAAAATAATTGATATTTTCCATCTTCATATCAACCAACAACACTCTGCAGCTTGGAAAACTATAAATGAACTAGTGGGAAAGGGATCAAAACCTCCACCAACAATTAAAGGTGGCAGCCGTGAGCAACGGCTTGGTAATTGGCTTTCTCATTTCAAAGACCTCCTTGGTAATCCCGCAAGTCTTTCTGATCACGTGTCCCTCCCAAAAGTTCAAAATTAGTAGTGCTTTGAACATATCAACAGTAGAGTTCACTATTGCAGAGTTGAAATGTGTTCTAATAAAGACAATGAACAAAGCTCTTGATCCTGACAAGATTCCGGTCATCTTGTGGAAGGACCCTATTTTTCACCAATTACTTCTTGATCTGTGTAATTATGCAAAGGCCAGCCACGTTTCACCAACCATCTGGCTACGATCGCAAATCATCCCTATCCCCAAAAAGGGCGATTTGACATTACCAACCAATTATCGCGGTATTTCGTTGCTTCCTATAGGTGCGAAAATCTATAACAAGCTTCTTCTAAATCGAATTCGCGCTGAAGTTGAACCCATTCTACGCAAAAACCAAAATGGTTTCCGCCCAGGTCGTTCCACTCTTGGACAAATCCTCACATTGCGTAGAATAATTGAGGAAATCACATTCTGCAACAAAACTGCAGTTCTTATCTTTGTAGACTTCAACAAAGCTTTCGACTCAGTCAACCGCGAGACTATGTTTGAAATTCTTAAACTCTACGGCATACCAGTAGAAATCATTGAAGCAATCAAAGTATTGTACACCAACACACAGGCCTGACCCCAGATGGAGAAACAGAACCTTTTTATATTCTGGCTGGCATTCTCCAAGGTGATACACTTGCACCTTTCCTTTTCATCATTGTAATAGACTACATCATGCATATATCAGTGGATACAATCAAAGAAAATGGTCTGATGTATCAGCCTAGAAGAAGCTCACGTCATCCTGCACTTTACATCACCGATGCTGATTTTGCCGATGACATTGCACTGTTGTCTGACAACCACATTAGTGCCCAAGCACTCCTTTCTTCTCTTGAATCAGCAGCTAACTGTGCAGGTCTACACCTAAATGAAACTAAAACTGAGTGTATGCCAATTAACATTCGCAACAATCATGAGATCAAAAACACTCTCAGATAACATCGTCAAATGTGTCAAGACTACAAGTATCTAGGATCACACATCAAGAACTCTGAGAAAGACTTCAACATTAGAAAAGGTATAGCATGGACTGCTTGTAACAAAATGGATAAGATCTGGAAATCCAATCTTGCTCGTCAATTCAAAAATCCAACTTTTCCCAATACTTATTGAGCCAATCTTACTCTATGGCTCTGAAACTTGGACTCTCTCAGCAAAACAACAGCGTCATTTAGATGGATGTTATACACATCTTTTAAGAAGAGTGCTTAATCTCTCATGGCGAAACCACCCAACTCTAGAAATGATATATGGTGACTTGCCAAGAGTATCAACTTTAGTTTGTAAGAGACGTGTCCAGTTCGCCGGGCATTGTGCACGTGCCACAGATGAACTTGTGTCATCATTTGTACTCTGGAGTCACCCATCATCTGTCAATCGATCACGCAAGTTAACCTTTCCAGATAGGATAAAACGTGACACATTGATCCCTAAGGAAGATCTTTTAGGTGCTATGACAGATAGGGAATACTGGAGAGGTGTAGTGAGTTCAATCTCGGCTGAGGCCACAAGATGATGATGATTGCCAAAACATTTTAATACAATTAGAAAAACAAACTAAAATAGTCAAAATAAATCTTCCTAATTTCTCTCTACATTCAGTCTGGCTATATCACTGTGAATCAAAAGCTAAAACAGTTTAAAATGAACTTAATGCTTAGAATAAGTGATTGTGCATTTATAATATGCTGTTTTTCAGTATTATATGCTTTGCTATCTAGATATGCAAGCTCATCTTGGATAATATATTCACTACCCTCCAGCCATGTTTTTGCAGTTACAAACCAAACTCTTTATTTAACCCAAAAGAGTAGACTGTTCTCATTTTGATTTAAGGGTTATTTCAAATCAATTAACAATTCATTTTTGTGTCATTTGGTCCAATTCTTCCACTAAATCAGATCATGTGGCTTTACAACACTGCCAAACCAAGGGATTGAATTCACTTCCAGGGAACCAGATATATTTTAAACAATGTTTTAATCTACTAGGCTAAGCATATATTGGACAATCTAGTGGTGAAATTCTGAAGTCTTAAACATAATATCTGTACTAAGTGGTACTGTGTGCATGCACTCACTCAGCTGGTGGAACTGCAAGAGCATGCTGACACAGATTATAGTTATCTCTATGCTAGCTCTACTGAGGACATTATGGCCACAAATGTTTATCCTTATAAGCAGTTATTCTTTTTAAACAAAGTTGCATAGAAAGAACAAAATATTATGTTTGATTCTGTCCTATGAAGAACCATTTCTTGTAAATGATATCTCATTTAACCAGAATCCACTGACTCCTCAAAAACTTAGTTGAATGTTGCTTGTTCTAGGTCTCAAAAATTGATTTACTGATAAAATTGAAGTAATTTCTATTTGAAGTAATTGCCATTATCAAAATTAAGTAGTTATCTATGCATGTAACTTATGTAATTATCAAAAATTATGGAACAATATTAATATTAAACTGACTTTTAAACAGTTGTATCAATGAGTACTTGAAGACAACTGTAGAGTGATTTATAAAAACCCAAAAATGTCACTATTTACATGTCCTATTTCTTGACCCAACATTTTCTGAGATTTAACTAGAAATATATGTACACATCTATATACTAGATGAGTTTATACTTACCTATCTTCAGCAATGCCAAGATCAATGGTAGAAAAGTTGTGCTCTTTGAAAAGGGCAAGTAAAGCTGATCTATTACTATCATGTATTTTGCCTTGACTCAAACTATCTCCTGGTTCAACCAACTAAAAACAAATAAATTTTGAAGTGTAAAACAAACAAAGAAACAACTACAACAAACAAAACTTTATCTTAAAAAAAAAATATGTAAGATTGCCTCTTGTCATTTCTAGATATCTTTTTAAAATAACAATTATATATTACATACACAGCGTAATAACAATCTATTCAAAATGTAACTTTTCTTAACAATTCTACCAATTTAAAATGAAAAAATAGTTTTCAAATAGCTTTTTATGGTTATAGAGATTATTCTAAAAAATAAAATAAAAAAAAAAAATGAAAAGCTAGAACAAATTTTAAAAGACTATAATTTTTTCATGCTGTTAATTTAAATATAAAGCTAAATGAGAACATTGAAAAGATTATAATCACACATTAAGAATGCTTTTTTTATATAATAGCAGTTTTCTCAAATTTTCTACCAATTTGTTAAAATACCCTTACTATCTTTTAGTTTGATAATATTAAATTGTCACACATAATTGAGAAAATTTTTTAAAATTTAAGTTAAAACAAAATTGTCTTTCTTGTACCTTTTTCTAATCAACAATAGAGTGTCAGTTCTTTTATTCTTATATAAGTTTTTAGTCAATTTATAAAAACATACAAATATACAAATATTGTAGAAATACACATAAAGAATACTTATCTATCCATTTTTTTGCACTCTAGTTAAAAGGAACGGTTCATTAAAATCTATGGTAAAAGAATTACAACATGAAATTCCAAAAGTCTTCAAATATACTGCTGTTTATAAAAATATACTGCTGTTTATAAAAAAGTTACTGTGATTAACTGAATCTATCAAAAGTGGTTTGCAAAATTTAATGCTGGAGATATTTTTACTGAATGATGCTCCACAATCAGGTAAACAAATTGAAGTTGATTGTGATCAATTGAAAACATTCAACATGAGAAATATCTAACATTCTCAAAATATTCAAATAGAACATTGAAAATCATTTGTACAACTATTGTGCCTTCAACATAAGTGAAAAAACAAACAAACTACTGAACTGTATTTAAATATTGCAGTTTTGAAACAAATTATCTCAGGAATGAAAAGTAGATACAATGTAGGAAGCAAGACATCATGAAATAAACAAATGAAATGAACTGCCACTAACCATACCAAAAGGTGATGGTAGGATTAGAAGATAGTTTCGTATGAGCTCTTTCTAGAGAACTAAACAATTCAAACAAGTACTGCTTCTAATTAGACTAAATGAAGACAGCAATCAATATAAAGTGTCCAGAATTAAGAAAAAGAGCAAAAAATATTACATCAGTATAATGCTAGGCTGTATATTTCTTTGATAACCTGTGGCTAAAATTGTAACATTTTCACTGGGAAGTTTTCACTCATCTGCTGTATTTTCTTGGTACTTTAAGGTTATCATTTGTTCTGGTATTTAAGAAATAAAATAAAATTGTTAGAAAAATAAAATTATAAATTTGGCAGAAGATAGTGGAGCAAAATTTGTTCAATAAAATTAATGTAAAAAAGTATATATATATATATATATATATATATATATATATAATATAATATATATATATAAAATAAATTGTCTTATTTTTACTTCATAAAATAAGCAAACTTCACTTTATCCAAGACTTAAAAGAATTCACTTACCCAACAAACACTTACTAGTAAAATACAATCAAACATACCATTATAATTCAGTCTCATTTTTTTATAAACATGAGAAGTCAGATATGATTTGTTTTAAGTTATACTTTCTATACTGAAAGGCTAATACTGAAATGACTTGTAAAATCACAAGAAACTTACTTCAAACACTTAGCAAGTAAGGCTCTTAGGTACAAATCAAATGACAAGCCATTATATAATATATATATATTTATGGGTATAGAAATTCTGTCAATATTTACAGCTATTTGAACAAATTAAATTTAGAGGCTGGCTCAACTTGCTTAGGAATGGACAGAATAGATAGACTGAGATAAGACCTGTTTTTTTTTTTTTATTTATAACAATACTAAACCTTGCCTTTTATTGATATTTCTGTGCAAAGGATGTTGAATTAATTCAGCAAAAGAAATGTATGTGGGAACAGTATAAATTTCATTTATTTTATATTTTTCTTTCAAATCATCAAATGTTGTTATTAAACTTTCATCCATTTCATAGTTTGTATCCAAAAAGATAAAAAGAAGCAATGTACATAAAATTCAGGAATACCTCAGTATTGTCCAAGAAACATTCACTTACACAACAAGCACTTTTATTAAAATATGCTATGATACAAAAATTGAATGTGTTTTTCATCACCCAGGCTGAAATTTATATTCTATTTCTTTCAGCAAGTTAATCACATATAAAAGGTAGAGAATCTTTTTTATGAAATCATGAATTTATAACCTTATCACTCATCTTTTGAGAATACAGTCAACTTCTCAAGCATATTATGCAGATCATCACAGTTGTTAGCAAGAAAAAAAGGTCCTGGATTTTAGGGGAAAAAAATCACTGTGACAATTCTGAAATAATAGGAAATATTAGTAATAATCAAATTATCTGAAACAACAAAAATAATGTAAGAAAGGAAACAAAAGCTAATTAAATAATTCCTAGCAAAAGAATTACAAAGCTGACAGAAATATTTTTCATCCAATATTTTAAACATACAAAATGTTTTAAACAATACAAATAAGGATGGAGTAAAATATGATGAAATTAGCTTTTCTGGACATCCTAATAATTTGCACAGATAGTAGACATTTGTATCAAACAAATGGACATTCACTGGATATGTTTGAAACTGATTCCAACTAACCACAAAATATGAAAAAAAGCAATCATAAATAGCTTACAAGATCAAGCAAAACATATGTAGTGTACCAGACATAGGACACTTAAAAGAAACAAATACTCAATGAACATAATAGCAGCAAGAACTACCAGCAGATGCACAAACTTAGAAATCATTAAAAAATGAGTAAGAATCATTCTACCAAACATCAGAAGAATGGTGGAGAACATACAACAATAGTATTATATTCAACAGTGATCCCATGTTATGCTTCACCAAAGTAAAGACCCCACTAGAAGTAAACAAACTGAGAACCTAACTACCCCTAAAAAAATTGAGGAAGATCAGAAAACTAATTCATACAGATACTTCAAAATCTGAGATAACTGAATGTGCTTTATGCAATGAAGTCAAAATAATAAAGAGGAAATAGTATTGAAGATTCAGAAAGTTGAATAAATCTACACAAATACTGGAATAAAATCATTTAATCATTACATCAATAAATAGACATTAAAAGGGAACAATGTTTTGAAGGGTTGAAAAAAAAAAAAAAAAAAAATAACGTCAAGAAAATGGAAGTTTTGCCAAGATTCACCATGTAGGTCATTGATAAAAATAGAGTAATATAAATAATTTCTATTTTAACACAAAACGAAAACAACTTAAAGCATAGTATAAATTTCTGGCTTTTAATAAAGATAAAATATTATTAAAATGATATAAAAATAATAAGATATAATAGTGAAGCAGGCTATTGAGTAAAAATCTAAATAGCGCAGTCACTTGTATCTGAGGATGCCAGTCTACTAGGGCAGCTAGTTAATCCCCATTGCAGATGCTTGCTCAGGCATATTTATGTTTGTTCAACACCCACAAGAGCCCACCTATGGTTTATACTTCAACTATGCTGAGCAGACCTTAATTACAGCTTCTGGAAGAGTACACATTATTTAGCATGATCAACAGTCTAAACAAGGCCAGCACACACTCAAACCCATGGTCATGATAACTTATGACTTCATACTAGTACAACCAACGACAGCTCCCAAGGGGTCCATCTACCCAATTTCACTCACAAGGCTTTGTTTAACACATGATATGGTTTTCAGACACTTTCCAAAGGTGCTGCCATGCTGGGATTGCCTCTTCCTCCAGACCGATAACATCAAAAAGTCACCTTCCTGACAAATTGACCGTGATAAGATTCAAACCTGGATCTCATGGTCAAAACAGCAATGTTCTAACCACTCAGCCATCTGCCTATCTAAGTAAAAATAGGTTGTAAATATATGCTTACTAAAATACTCATATTATCAATCAATACCATGTGCAAAAAACATAAGAATTAAATTTTTGTCTTATGTTTTATAGAATAAAAAAATTATACTTACACCCTTGACTTATTTTATAAGATTCTTTTCTTATGAAAATGAAATTCAGTATCACTGTTGAATTTGGTGCCAAACTTTCCAACCACTTGCTAAACTATTACATCATAGGTACTAATTATAACTAAAATAAAAATTCTACTACTCAAACTTAGCATTAATCTTTTACATGCATACATTAATTTTCTATTATATTTAGTAATAACCAATAAACAAATACATTCTCAAATTAAGGATAAAATGAACATGTTATTTAGAAAAAAAAGAAAATCAAAACAGATTTTTGGTGTAGTTTTCTAAATATCTTTAGCTAAAGCAAATTTAAAAAGGAAAAATACAATTAAATCAAGATTTTACAGTAGAATATTAAATAAGCATCTAATTATATAAAGCCAAGGTTTTTATTTTATATAAACTTATGACACAATGCACCCATAAAGTACAAAATAGCTTTAAGATAATTTTCACTAAATAAAAAATACAAAACTGTATATTTTGAATTGACAAATTCAATAAATAAATGTAAATATTTTATAAACAGAATAAATATTTTAATAAACATGTGCTACCTTGTCTAGATATTTTTCTTGCTTATTTTCCAATAACTTATAATTTTGTTATTTAAGCATTCAAATTATAACATAATTTGAATGTTTAAATAACAAAATTACTTTTGCAAAAAATACTTTATTTCACAAATATATGAAATGTTAGCCCAATGAGCAAAAACAGTAAATGGCTTAGTCTCTGAGACAAATTAAAGCATTTCTAAACTGTTTTGAGAAGAATGAATTTATAGCTATTTGGCAATCTCAAAATAATTGTGAACATCTTGAATTGTTTAATTCAAAATAACCATAATGTTTTTTTAACATTTATTCCAAAAACTTGGTTCATGCATAAAGGATACATATAAAGTTGAAACAAGTTAATGCAGTTAAAAAAAAAAAAGGGGGGTAAATATATATGCATGCAATGATCTTGATGAAGGAAACAACACTGACCTCATTTCCAGTGGATAATACAGCAATTGTTGGTTTTTTGAAACACTTGACTTTAAAAACACCTACTGTGGCTAACAAACCCACTTCAGAAGGTCCTAAATACTGGTTTCTCTTGAGAACTTTTTCCCCCTGTGGAATGTCTGACCCAACAGGCCTACAAATATTAAAGCAATGAATGTAACATCTTTGCATTTGATAAGAAAGTTAAATAATATCATTTATATAAAAAATTTAAAAGCAAATTTTGGTAAAAAGTTTCAGTTTTTGGCAATTAATAGCAAATGATTAAACCAACTAAGTGAATTTCAGTTAGTTTTAAATATAATTTTATATATTATACAGAAAAATTTAACTTAAGTTATTTATTTTGAAATCTTTGTTTTAGCACTTCTTGAAGTGCTTTATTAAATGCTTAATTTCTTTATTATATAAGAAATAAAGACATTAAAATAAACACAAAAGCTTAATTTCTAAACTGACTGAACAACGTAAAAATACTTTTGAGGTAAATAATTCTATTTTAAAGCTATATTTTTTGGTAAAGTATAGCAGTTTTAATTTTTTTTTTTTGGTAAATTTTCTGGTTATTCAAATATACACGACATTTCTTTCTAAACCTTTAGAGTAAACTCTAATAAATCATTCCCAAGGAAAAACTGTTTCCAAGCAATAAAATATAAATCAATTATTATATGAATTTGACCATATTAATTCTTATTCTTTAAAATATTCACAAAAATTGTCAAGGAAAATCAGAATACCATTATTTTTTTAAACATTCTATAAGTATAGCATAAGTATAGCATAATATATAGCTTCACAAACCAATATTTCCTCTGTACTGTAGGTCACAAAAGTTAACACCTCATTAAATAAACTGTGCAAAATTTCAGGAATAATTCTTTCTCAGATGGATATGTTTTTTTCATCAAATAATGCACTTTACATCTGAATCTTTCCAATCAAAACAAAAAACAAGTATAAGGCTAAATTTTTTCTTTAGAAATCTCTAAAACAAATTTTTTGATGGCAGTACAGAACTTAGGTTTTCTTTAATCTGACTCATTCCCAGGTAAATCTGTTTTAGATTATTGTCTAAGTGAACGAGTAAATTACAACCCAAACAGAATTTCCTGGTTGAGTTTAATAGCAATTTTTTTCAATTTGACAATACATGACGCTGTATATCATTCTCTTTACAATGACAAGCTTTCCCTTCCAAAATGCTGAGAAAGACTTTGAAAGTATCACAGATCCCTCTATCCATGGTGTTTGTTGGTGATAAACTGTCTATTTTCAAGTACACATAACATTTGGGATAAATAACTATTTTGGTTCATCTACCTTCTTGCTACATATTTTTTTAAAAAAAAACTATTCTCATGTAAATGTTTATTTCTTCTTTCAAGCCACAATGCTTTTAAGTTAGTTTTATGCAATGCTCTGGAATTGTATTTGTATATGTTTCAACTTCAGCCATTGAAATCTCTTTTAGAACTACAGATGGATTGGCAACAGCAACAAATTTTGCTTGGGTCCTGTTATATCTCGTGCAAGATATAATAAACAAAGTAACCCGAGTGTTGGTTTTCAATAATAGGTTTATAATCGGATGTAGGTGTGTCAAATACAGAGACAGAGTCAGGAGTATGCTAACCTCAATAAGTGTTAACAAACGAAGACTTGACAACTGTCCGCTGTGGTCGTACTTAATCGGCAACCAGTCCGTCCATTATCGTGAATGGGGAAGTTGGGTTATATCATCACAACACCTCCCCCCGAAGCTGAAATTTTCCTTTTGAAAATTTCTGCTTCTAATGTCGTCTTTTTGATCCGGGCTAAAACGCTCCACTGGTTTTTTTTTCCGTGTGCTCCTTCTTTTAGTCGTCACAATTAGATCCTTTTTTGGCGAAGATAATTTCCGCTTTTCAGCCCGTAAGGCTGGTCCATGCGATACAGGTTCATATACACTATTGGATAGTGTCATGTTAAAAGCATCGCATAACACTTCCATCGGAATTTCTTCTTCGCTTTTTTCACTTTCTTCACCATATCGTGGTCTAACCTGATTGATGTGTCTTTTACATGTAAATTTTTTACTTTTAATCGTGTAGACCACTTTACCAATCCTTTTCTGGATTATGCCATCCATCCATCCAATAGCTTTTTCCACTTTGAAAATTTAAAAAAAAAAAACTTTGTCTCCTGAAGTGTATTTTTTTATGGTGACTTTTTCCTCTTTCTTAGCAACTTTTTTGTTTTGATATCGAAAATTGATCTAATTTTCCTTGCGAACATAATTTCCGCCGGTGACATTTTCGCATCGTTGTTCTCATTAGGAGTTACCCTATAGATTGCTAAGAACTTCTGAATAGTTCTTTCTTCCGTATCCATACCTTTATTTTTACGTAAAGCACATTTAAAAGTGTCAACAAATTTCTCGGCTTGTCCGTTCGACCTGGGATGACACACTGGTGTAGTTATGTGTTCAATGTCTAAGGCAGTACAGAAATCCTTAAACTCCATACTTGTGAACGCCGTACCATTGTCGCTAACCAATGTTCTGGGAACCCCGAAACGACTGAAAATTTCATCCAATGCACTGATGATGTTCCTAGATGTAGGATGCTTGCACTTGACTACCTCAGGCCATTTCGATAAAGAGTCCACCAATATCAAATAATAGTAGCCATTAATTGGTCCAGCATAGTCTATATGTAGACGTGCCCACGGCAAATCCGTTTTTGCCAAGGATTCATTTTGACGGAGGTGCCCTTGCAGCCAATTGACAACCTCTACATAGTCTTACAAAGCCTTCAATATCCTTGTCCATTCCTGGCCAGTATACATAACCACGCATGAGTGATTTCATCCGAGACATTCCAGGATGACCGGTATGAAATTCTTTCAGCATATCTGTACGTAGAGATTTAGGTATAACAATTCTATCTGCGTACATCAACGTGTTGTTGCAAATTGAAAAAGGTGAAATCTGAGTTCCCTTTTTCTGTCTTTTGTTCCATCTCGTCTGGTTCCTTAATTTCACAATATAGTGATCTTTTTCCGCTTCTTTTTTTATTTGGTCCAAAGTTACCGGCAATTCCCTGATTGTATTCAACAAGAGACCTGATATTTCTTTTCCTCAGTTAATGCTGCTATAACCGTCTCTTCTAAAATTTCTTCATTTTTTGAATCAGCCTTGACAATCCATCCGCATGCCCATGTTCTTTAGATTTGACGTATTCCATCCTAAAATGGTAATTAAGCAGGGTTACACCCCATTGCTGTAAGCGATTAGCTGTATCATTAGGAATGCCTTTTTTACCTCCAAATATTGTAAGTAACGGTTTATGGTCCGTTTGAAGTACAAATAATCTACCATGTAAAAAGCGATGGTATTTTTTAACCCCGAACACAATCGACAAAGCCTCTTTCTCGATCTGGCTATAAATTTTTCAGCGGAAGAAGAGTCCTCGACGCGTCATTGATCAGTTTAATAGTGCCATCTTCATATTTGTGTAGCAGTGCAGCACCCACCATTACAAACTTGCGTCAGTTGCCAGAATGATCTCTTTCTCAGGATCATAATGTGCTAAGGCGAGATCTGAGAGTAGGCATTTTTTTATTTTCTGAAAAGCCATCTCGCAATCTTTTGACCAAAACCATTTCTTGTCTTTTTTCAACAATTCGTTAAGGGGGGCTCTTAAATCATACATTTTAGGTATGTAGATTGCATAATATTGTACCAACCCCAGAAACGATTGTAACCCATAACTGTGTCGGGTGCAGGCATGTTCTTAATTGCATCGGCTCTCTGTGGGTCCGGTTTCCTGCCTTCACTGTCTATCACCTGTCCAAGGTATGTAATTCTTTCCATGAAGAATTTACACTTCTCGTGGCTTAATTTAAAACCAAAATCTTCTAGTCTTTTGAATATCGCTCTGATGTGCGTTTTATGTTCTTGAACATTCTTACTTTTGACTTTGACTAGAATGTCATCTAAATAGGCGGTACCAAACTCAAGGCCTGCCAGCATAGTGTCCATCACCTGTTGGAACAAAGCTGGGGCGACCTTTAAAGCGAAAGGAAGCCTATTTAACTTATAAATACCTTTATGTGTATTTATACACAAATATTTTGAGCATTAAAATACTCACTTTAATCTGCAAGTATCGTCAGACAGGTCGATTTTTGAAAAAATCTTACCCCATTCAACTTTGAAAAAATATCTTCTGGTGAAGGTAGTGGATAACTGTGATTTTTAAGGCAATTATTTAACCCTGTTGAAAAATCTGCTTTACACTTATTTTTTGCGTTTTTCTTCTTAATATAAACAGTGGGCAAGGCCCAATCCATGGTCAACCTTAGATATCACTCCCATTTTTTCAAGCCTTTCCAATTCCTTATTAATTGTGTCTAAGGAGGAAAAAGGAACGTTTCTCTTAGGTTTAAAAATTGGTTTCACATTTTCCTTGAGTTCAAATTTGACTTCCATCTTAGTACATAAACCCAATCCCTCAGAAAAAACTCTGGGATATTCTTCTTTTAATTCATTCATGAATTTTTCATTTTAATACTTTTTTTGTTTTTCTGCACTGTTTATTCGTTGCAAAATGAGTTAATCGGGAGTTCAAACAAATCAAAGAGTACTATCCAGTTTACTCCAAAAAGACATGAATTAATTCCTTGGATTACATACACTTTCGTTTTTGCAGTCTTGCTACATAACAAAATATCGCACTTTAATTCTCCCTTAAAGTTTAATATCTTTCCTGAAATCCTCTAGCGTTTTTTTTGGTTTCAGATAATTTGGGTCTTCCAATATTTTTCCATGTTTGTTCATCAATGATGCTTATGTCTGAACAGGAATCCAATAGGAAAGTAATTGTATGATTATTTATACGTACATCTACGTACTTTCTATTTTTACCGTTCTGAATTTCTTTTTCTGATAATACCAGGCTTACATCTTGTAATTTCCTTTTCTTCCGGCAAACCCGAATATTTATGCCTTTATTTCCACACGATTGACAGAATTTATTTTGTACCAACACACGTCTTTGGTATGATTTTTTATTTCCATACGATTGGCAGAATTTATTTTTGTACCAACACGTGTTTTTTGGTATGGTTATTTTTTCCACACGCCCTCAC